TGAACTGTTTCCATTACCTGTTTGATGGTTTTTTCTTGGTTTCCCAGGGTATCATGTACGTATTTACTCATTTCTTCAAACTTTTTGTTATACTTCTCATCCATTTCTATAAGGGCATTTTTTACATGTTGTTTAAGGGACTCTATTATCTTCATAAAGTCGATTTTTTCCACTTCTTCTGTGTTAGGTTGTTCAAATACTTCTGTTGTAAGATCATTGGGTTCTGATGTTTTCATGTTGTTTTTCGGATTATTGGGTGAATTCTTGCCTTGGCGCCTGCCCATCTCCTCCTATTGATCCTATCCAATGGGTCCTTTAAAAATCGGATCAGGTTTCCCTGCTCTTTGATTCAATTGTAGTAGGGCGATCTGCTCTCCTTATTCACGCCTGTCTCCGCCGCTTGGGTCTGCCGCTGCGCCGGTCCCCGAAAGCCTCTTCCTGTATGCGGTGTTGCTCCGCCGCGTCTGGCCGCCGCCGCGCCGCTCCGCCTCTGCCTAATTCTCACATATTAATTTAGCCCATTTCTAATCATCTGTGTGTAGCACCCCAAGGTGCGCTTACCGGGAAGATTCTAGCCTATGTCCATCCTGTGTCAGAGCTTCATCCCGGGAGCGGGTCATGGCGTCTCTCTCAGGCGTCTGCTCCCGAGAGGAAAGCTGTCAAGACTGACCTCACTTCCTCTTCCTCCCAGCGTTCTGTTCTGTTTACTCCTCCCACCTATCCTCTAACCAATAAAATGGGCCAAGGCAGTTCCTTTATTAGCCAATGACCTTCCTCCATCATTTCCCCTTTTTCGGTTTAAACAAAAAAAATAAAGGCTTTAACATAGGAAAATTACATATAACAAAGCAGTTATCAAGTAAAAGTTACAATAATCTTTTTCATAACTAAGGAAAACTATAACTATAACTAACTATTCTTAACTCCATCAAAGACTCCAGAAAGATACAATACTACCTAAGCAAACAAGAAAAAAGCAACTTTTAAAACTCTAGAAATGACAGAGACATCTCGCTGCCTGGACAGTCACCCAAGGTTCCTCTGTACCATTGGGGCATCCATCTTCAGCCTTCAGGCCCATGGTATCCAGCAGACATTTCCATAAAGCAGGAAAATTCAAAGTCAGTTCAGTCACTATCTGTTGTGTCCTGCAGAATGTCTCGCAGACTCTTTCATGAATCAGGAACCCCAAAAGATCATCTCACCTTAGGCAAGTTCAGTAGTCCTCTCTGTGGGTTCTCTGTGTCCAGTTTATGCAATAGTCCAGGCAAGAGCAGTTTCTTGCCCAAATGGCTATCAAACTCCATAAGGTGCCTCTTCGATGCCCATCTTCCTCTTGAAGTACATTGGTGCTGCCAGGAGCAGAGTGTCTCATTGTCATGAAAAGTCCTCAGTTATTAAAACATTAAATGTCCTATTCTGTAATCTTTGAAAACATGAAGAATGTCTATCTAAAATATATCTCTATATATCCAGAAAATCTAACTAACATGACTACAAGCTTTACTATTATCGATGATTATCCATTAACAACCTATATTTCTTAATTATACAGTACATATTTAAATGAACTACACAATCACAATACCTTAATCAAAATCAGAAACACTTATATATATAACAAAATTGACCTTAAATCTCTATCAATAAAGCAAAATCTATACTAATGTAAATTATTCATATCTATATCATATCCCCCTTTAAATGTAAAAGAACATTTATAAACATTTTTTGGGAATATGGGCGCAGTTATTTCTCTCCAAACTGCTTCCTGCTGAATGGGGGCATTGTTAATTAGGTCTTTCATGGTATAACCTGTGTGCTAGTTTCATCTCAGTTGGCAGTTGAGCGAAGCAATTTTTTGAAGGCGTTCACACCAACCCTTCAGGAGGGCGTGGTCCATCATACCAAATCGGAATAGAAGAAATGAACAGCGTCTCATCCTCTGTGAAAACAAAATAAGAAACTCCTTTCCAAAGTATCATATCCTTAGATCCAAATTCAAAATATCTATGTTGGATTAGTTCAGCAGCATTTATAAATAAATATCTTTTAGCAGCTGTTGCTCCTTCCTCAGCATTCAAATAATTCAAAGAGAGCATAATAGCATACAGTATCAAAATTCTCTGTGTATTTTCCATCTTTGTACAGCTTTGTTTTAACCTCTATTTCGTTTATTTTTACTTTTAACTTTTTGCTTTTTGAGACAGGTTCTCTGTATCTTTGACCTGAAATAACTCTGTAGACCAGGCTGTCTTTGAACTCTCAGAGATCTGCCTGTCTCTGCCTCCCAGGCATTGGGATTAAAGGCGTGTGCTACCACACCTTGAAGTCACAGAGGTCTATCTCCCTCTGCCTACAAAGTGTTGGGATTAAAGGTGTGTACCACACACAACAACTCTCTTCCTTTTTTTTTTGTTACTTTAAGAACTTTAAATTTTAGTCTGCATATATTTTTAACACACTTCAAACCATTTAGAAATTTTCTTTGTCTTTGAATCTCTCTTTACTGTATATCTCTCTTTTTCTGACCACATGAGTCTTTAATTTACCAAGCAATGTCAGTAGGATTAAAGGCGTGGCTTTGCCAGCTAGATCCAGTCCATTCCTTAGCTTTCCACCCTCATGGCGGATATACAGGCTGTAGCCATGTTTATAGCCTCTATGGCGTTTCAAGGTCCCTGCCAGCCAGCGAGCTACAACAGACAACACTCAAGTCCTCTCTCGGTAGCCGTCCCTCCTGGCTCAAACAGTCAGAGTTTGCCCTGGCAGGATGGCCCAGAAAGCCGGCATTTTTAAACGGCGCAGCTTTTTTCCTGCTATGGCTGAAAACCGAAAAGCATGCGTTCAGCTTTTCGTCAACACCGTTTAAGTGTTTCGTAGCAGGACCTCTTAATGAGCTGCAGGGTTTTGCAGCTAAAGCTGAGTCAGGAAGCCTCTCTTAGATGAGGCGCTTGCTTGCCTCTAGCAAGCAGAGTAGACTCAAGAACACAGCGAGTCTAGTTGCCATCAAACAAATCGTAGCACTTTACTCCAAATGCTCTATTCAAAAGCTCTGTCTCCCGCGGGAGCCAGACAGAGATCGCAATGGCGGCACAGCCCCAGGAAGTCGCGCATTAAAATTACACAGCGTTTTTTCTGCTACTGTTGCCGAATCAGGAAATCTCTCTACAGCACGCCACCAACAAACAGCAAAAATCTGTGTTAAACTCTCTCTCCCTTATTTTTAAGCCTTCTCAGGTTTTTTAAGTGGATTTAGTCCATCACGTATGGCGCCATATGTAGTAATATGGGCGGCGGGGCTGCGTTCCCAGCACCCCAGCCGCCTGCCCGGCTAGCTTATGCCCCGAAATAATTACACGGACACTGTATCCTTTTAAACACTGCTTGGCCCATTCTCTTCTAGGCTAATTCTCACATATTAATTTAGCCCATTTCTAATCATCTGTGTGTAGCACCCCAAGGTGCGCTTACCCGGAAGATTCTAGCCTATGTCCATCCTGGGTCAGAGCTTCATCACGGGAGCGGGGCATGGCGTCTCTCTCAGGCGTCTGCTCCGGAGAGGAAAGCTGTCGAGACTGACCTCACTTCCTCTTCCTCCCAGCGTTCTGTTCTGTTTACTCCTCCCACCTATCCTCTAACCAATAAAATGGGCCAAGGCAGTTCCTTTATTAGCCAATGACCTTCCTCCATCATTGCCCCAATGCCCCTCTTGGCTTTATCACATCTTGTACCAAGCCAGTTCTCATGTTTAATCCTGAAGAGGGCAGTGGGGGTTAAAGGGGCTCCATCCCAGCTTCGCAGCATAGGAGCCCAGGAGCTAACACCGAGGGCTGCCTTGCCCACTCCTTGAGAACTGTGGCAGCATTGGTCTGTGGTGAGGGCGGTGCCTTGCTTTATAGACTGGGCAGGGAGCCGGAGGCAGTGTGTCCGAGCTGTCAGTCAAGACCAGCCCAGAGCACAGTCCCTCCAGGGCAGCAAGCAGGGCTGGGAAAGAGCTGGGGAGTGGGACTCAGCCGTGCATGGAGGGGTCCCTTAGCTGGTCTGGCAGGGAGTGAGCCACTGTCTCTGGGAGACGCATGGTGGGTCGGTGATGTCTCTGCAGAGAACAGAACAGAGAACAGAAAGGACTTCCTCAGATTTCATGTGGAAAACCTTTGTTCTTTGGGCCAGGTTGTGGCAATCCCCATGTGACATCGGGCATGTAACTTAACTATTCTAAGAGAGGGTGGCCCTGCTCTGCTGCCTCACAGGGTCAGCAAAGATTCCAGGCCTGGATCTGAGCTCCAAGGACAGTGGCCGTGGAGGTGGCCCTGACCAAGCCAAACTGAGTCACAGCACTGCCTCCACCCACACTGCTCTAGGGAATGTTCAGGAGCAGAGTGGGGCTGGCGGGCAGGAAGGCCATGCGGTGTAGTCAGGATTTTTGTTTTGTTTGTTTTTTTTCACACCCAGCTCTCACTTAAATAAATACAGGGAGACTTATTCTCTACTCATGCCCGGCCGTAGCTTGGCTTGTTTCTAGCCAGCTTTTCTAACCTGAATCACCCTGTTTCTCTTTAGCTGTGCTTTGCTTCTGGACTTTCTTTATTCTGTATCTCACCCTTTCCTTCTTACTCCATGGCCCCTTGCTTCCTCCTCTCCTTTCCTCACTCCTCCCTTCTTTGCTTTCTTCCCTAGATTTCTCCTCCTGTTTATTCTCTCCACCCAGCCCCGTCTATCCTTTCTCCTGCCTTGCTATTGGCCATTTAGCTCTTTATTAGAACAATCGGGTGTTTTAGGCAGAAAAAGTAACACAGCTTCGCAGAGTTAAACCAACGAAACATAAAAGGATGCAGCGCATCTTTGTGTCGTTAAATGCGTGCCCCACAGCGTAAACGATGGAACCCCTCCAAAGCTAGCATTGCACCACCATGGCGTTCACTCCCGGGACCCACATCTCCATACAGCCAGGTTTTCCTGCTCTGCCTGTGACTCTCCTTGTCACTGTCCTCTCTCAGGGTGTGTCTTTGTGGACCTCAGCAGTGAAGAAGACGTGAAGAAAGCTCTGAAGAGCAACCGGGAATACATGGGTGAGTGTGGGACGCCAGTGAGGCCGTGCCTGTGTTGTCTGTACATGGGAAATACATGTGAGTGTGTGGGACGCCAGTGAGGTCGTGCCTGTGTTGTCTGTACATGGGGAATACATGTGAGTGTGTGGGACGCCAGTGAGGTCGTGCCTGTGTTGTCTGTACATGGGGAATACATGTGAGTGTGTGGGACGCCAGTGAGGCCGTGCCTGTGTTGTCTGTACATGGGGAATACATGTGAGTATGTGGGACGCCAGTGAGGCCGTGCCTGTGTTGTCTGTACATGGGGAATACATGGGTGAGTGTGTGGGACGCCAGTGAGGCCGTGCCTGTGTTGCCTGTACATGGGAAATACATGTGAGTGTGTGGGACGCCAGAGAGGTCGTGCCTGTGTTGTCTGTACATGGGGAATACATGTGAGTGTGTGGGACGCCAGTGAGGCCGTGCCTGTGTTGTCTGTACATGGGGAATACATGTGAGTGTGTGGGACGCCAGTGAGGTCGTGCCTGTGTTGTCTGTACATGGGGAATACATGGGTGAGTGTGGGACGCCAGTGAGGTCGTGCCTGTGTTGTCTGTACATGGGGAATACATGGGTGAGTGTGTGGGACGCCAGTGAGGCCGTGCCTGTGTTGCCTGTACATGGGAAATACATGTGAGTGTGTGGGACGCCAGAGAGGTCGTGCCTGTGTTGTCTGTACATGCGGAATACATGTGAGAGTGTGGGACGCCAGTGAGGCCGTGCCTGTGTTGCCTGTACATGGGGAATACATGGGTGAGTGTGGGACGCCAGTGAGGCCGTGCCTGTGTTGCCTGTACATGGGGAATACATGGGTGAGTGTGGGACGCCAGTGAGGCCGTGCCTGTGTTGTCTGTACATGGGGAATACATGTGAGTGTGTGGGACGCCAGTGAGGCCGTGCCTGTGTTGTCTGTACATGGGGAATACATGGGTGAGTGTGGGATGCCAGTGAGGCCGTGCCTGTGTTGTCTGTACATGGGGAATACATGTGAGTGTGTGGGACGCCAGTGAGGTCGTGCCTGTGTTGTCTGTACATGGGGAATACATGGGTGAGTGTGGGACGCCAGTGAGGTCGTGCCTGTGTTGTCTGTACATGGGGAATACATGGGTGAGTGTGGGACGCCAGTGAGGTCGTGCCTGTGTTGTCTGTACATGGGGAATACATGGGTGAGTGTGGGACGCCAGTGAGGCCGTGCCTGTGTTGTCTGTACATGGGGAATACATGTGAGTGTGTGGGACGCCAGTGAGGTCGTGCCTGTGTTGCCTGTACATGGGAAATACATGGGTGAGTGTGGGACGCCAGTGAGGCCGTGCCTGTGTTACCTGTACTTGTGGTGCTGAAACACCTGCGGGCTCTGGGGACCCAACAGGGAGCAGAGAGTCCACAGCCACAGAGTGAACACGGGAAAGGGAAGGGAGAAATGGCACATAATGCCATCCACCAGAGTGACATGCAGGGGGCAGGCTTGCTGACCTGAGCTCCAGCTCCCTGGAACAGCCTGTGACACTGGCTAACTTGGGAGGACAGCAGCAGAGCAGAAGCTAATGCCACCCTCGGGAAGCTCAGCCAACTTCAGGCACATACAGGCATGGCCCCTGTCTTCATGTAGGTGGACGCTATATTGAGGTCTTCAGGGAGAAGGCCCCCAAGGCCCACAGCCCCCCAAAGAGCAGCACCACACCCTGGAAGGGCCGCACGCTCGGGGAACATGAGGAGGAGGAGGACCTGGCCGACTCTGGGAGGCTCTTTGTGCGGAACCTGTCCTACACCAGCTCTGAAGAAGACTTGGAGAAGCTGTTCTCTGTCTATGGTGGGTGCTGCATCCACTTGGTCTTGGGTGGGATTTGCTTCCATCATCTAGAGGTTCCTCTGCTGTGTGGACAGGCCTCTGTCCTCTCCCAGTGTGGAGCAGAGGGGAGAGTGGTGTCTCAGGCTGGTGTCACTGCTGTCCCATCTTTAATAGACACCGAGGCACCTGGCTGTCAGAAGTCTTTTTTGTTTTAGAAACAAAAATCTTGCTATATAGCCCAGGCTGGCCTTGAATTTGTAGCAATCCTCCTGCCTCAGCCTCCTGAGTGCAGGTGTTACCAGAGTGTACTACAGTGCCTTTTTTTCTTCTAAGACAGGGTTTCTCTGCATAGTCCTGACTGGACTCGAACTCACTCTGTAGACCAGGCTGGCCTCAAATTCAGAGATCTACCTACCTACCTCTGCCTCTGGAATGCTGGGATTAAAGATGCCCAGCATGAGGCTGGTCTTTTTTTTTTTTTTTTTGTTTTTTCGAGACAGGGTTTCTCTGTGGTTTTGGAGCCTATCCTGGAACTAGCTCTTGTAGACCAGGCTGGTCTCGAACTCACAGAGATCCGCCTGCCTCTGCCTCCCGAGTGCTGGGATTAAAGGCGTGCGCCACCACCGCCCAGCTCGAGGCAGGTCTTTTTGTTGGGTGTATAATGCTGTTATTAAAGGGATCCTTTGGTCTCCTCCAATCTCTACCCTAGTTTTAGCTTTTAAAAGAGAATCAAGCAGTCAGGAGTTTAATTAAAATAAGCAGGAGTACCCCTTAACAAATGGAGGAGCCAAGCCCAGCAGCAGTGGTTCTGGTCCTAGCAGGTCCTAGGTCCTTCCTCCTGTGCTGTTCTCTCCTCTGTGCCCCCCCCCCCAGAGTGGTTACTCCCAGGTAAAGAACACCTCCTTAAAAGCCTGGATCTCGGGCTGTTAAGTAGATGGGCCCAGAGGCACAAGCCCTTCAGCCTCTAATCCCAGCACTCAGGAGGCAGAGGCAGATGGATCTCTGAGTTCCAGGCCAGCCTGGTCTACACAGTGAGACCCTCTGTCAAGGGGAAAAAAAGATACAAGACTATGCCAGGGAGTTAAAGTACCCCTAAACCTGAAGAGTTCACTAGGGAAAGATTAATAGCCTCTCTGCATGACACACCCCTTGCAAGGGCACCCTGATGCCAGTTTGAGCTATCTCAGCTAGTTGACCACCCCCGCCTTTTCCATCCTCTCTTCTTTGACTCCCCTCCCCACTTTCAGGACCCTGAACTGGCTTGGCTGGAGAGACCAGCACTATGTCCTTTTTGTCCTGTTCTGAGGACCAGTTGGTCAGTCCCTCCCAGAGCTAACTTTCTTCCTAACAGTGCTAGGGCTGGGCCCTGGGCCTTGCATGCTGTCCTTAGTGTTGCTGCTGTTATAGTTTCTCCCACTGAAAACTCACCAGCCTGTAAGTTGTCTGGTTTCGGGGCTATGTTTGTCCATGGGGCCGGGATTATCGCACAGGGGGCAGCAGGGCTCTAAATGGGACTGAGACCGTAACACTTGGAGCATGCCTGAAGTAGCTCATCCAAGAACCGGGTCCTGAGAGTAGGCGTGGTGGTGAAACCTCCCAGTGTGCCCACAGCTGTCCTGCCAGGCTCTCCTGCCTCCTGCTTGGTACGGCCAGACTGGACAGGAGAGGGATTGTCTAGACTGTGGGTGTCCATTCAGGAAGATGGAGGTTCATGGTAAGAACGCGATCATGCCTTGTTCAGAGTGGAAAGTTCTGCTTGTCTTGTGTGGGAATGTCATGGCACTTACATGCCACCACCTTGGCTGCCCTCGTGTGTTGGTACAGCTCACCCCATACCTGTTCTGTGAACCAGGGATTTGTGATATTTCGTAGGTGAGGAAACAGGCCTGTGCGTGTTAAGTGTCAGGGACAAGGGAAGGCAGCCTATAGAGCAGGCAGCAGAGTGGGGAGATAGCCCACACCTCGGGCGGCTAAGCCAGCTGGCCTTTGCCATACTCTCCTGTGGGACCCAGAAGCCTGGGCTGGTCCAGAACAGCCATTTGTTGATCTCACCAGTTCAGACCTTTCCCTGGCCAATACCCAATGCTAGTGCTCTGGCCTGCAGCTGACTGGCACTTCTCCCATCTCCAGGTCCCCTGTCAGAACTCCACTATCCCATCGACAGCCTGACCAAGAAGCCCAAAGGTTTTGCCTTCGTCACCTTCATGTTCCCTGAGCACGCGGTGAAGGCCTATGCCGAGGTAGATGGGCAGGTATTCCAGGTAAGTTTGCTCAGGACTAGTCAGATTGCTGGGCTCAAGGAAGCAGGGGTGTGTGTGTGTGTGTGTGTGGTGGTGGTGTTGTTTTAGACCTTAGTGCTCACAGCGACTTGCCGTGCAGGGGTGTGTGTGTGTGTGTGTGTGCGCGTGTGTGTGTGTGTGTTGTTTTAGACCTTAGTGCTCACAGCGACTTGCCGTGCAGGTGTGTGTGTGTGTGTGTGTGTGTGTGTGTGTGTGTGTTGTTTTAGACCTTAGTGCTCACAGCGACTTGCCGTGCTGTCGCCTCAAGTGAGTTTCTAGAGGGTGGAATTTCTAAAGGCAGGGGCCTGGTTTCTGTGGCAGCCTGGCACACACTGGGTACTTACAGAGTATTTGTTGAGTGAAAAGTGTGCCCTTTGCCTCCTGAAATACTTCTTGGCAGACAGTGAAGTGGGAAGCAGGTAGTCAGGGCGTGCCCGATGGTAACAGGTAGTGCGTACGGTATACCTGCTTGAGTCCCAGGCTGCCTGTTGGGATTGTTTGTTCCTGATCTATAGATGGCATGTCACTGTCACCAGGCTAGACCTGCATCCACCTGTGGACTTCTCATGTTCTCTCACTGGGTAGGGACAGACAGGACGGGATGCAGGTTTGTGGGGCTGTGAACAGTTTCCAGAGCTGGAGAACGCGCAGGAGGCAAAAGCAGGTGGATCTCTGTGAGTTCAAGGCCAACCTGGTCTGTATATAGTTTCCAGGCCAGCCAGGGGTATATAGTGAGACCCCATCTTAAAAGACAGGGGGAAACAAAGAAGAAAAATGAACATTTCCTCCAGAGGATCAAAGTTCAGTCCCTAAAGCCGTGTCGGATCACACACAACCACCTGTAACTCCAGCTTCAGAAGATTCTGACCTCCAGAGACACCCGGCACACATGGTGCATATATATACAGTCAGGCTCAGGCACACACCACATGTACATAAATTAAATCTTTTTAAACGTGAACCGTGTTTCCTGCACATGGTGGTGTCAGCTGGCCTCACTACAGTGACCGGCCTTTTGACACATGGATGTCTTAAATTCTAAAGAGTTTACTGGGGGCTGACAGTTTCAGGGCGTGAGTCTGACCGTCATGGTAGAAGTGTGACTACAGACAGGCATGGTGCCAGCGCAGTAGCTGAGTGCTTACCTCTCCAGCCACAAGCATGATGCAGAGAGAAAGCTAACTGAAGATGGTGTGGGCTTTTGAAACCTCAGTGTTCCCCTCCAACAAGGCCACACCTCCTAATCCTTCCCAAATAGTTTCACAAACTGGGGGCCAAACTTTCAAATCTGTGAGCCTATGAGGATCATTCTCATTCAAACTGCCACAAACCACAAGGTCCCTCTGCTGTCTCCCTCCAGCCATATGTGGATCTAGTGTACTTGTGACCAGAGGAGGTGTTTTAGGGCTTCTATTGCTGTGAAGAGACACCATGACCATAGCAACTCGTATAAGGAAAACATTTAATTGAGGTGGCAGCTTATAGTTTCAGTGGTTTAGTCCATTATTATCACAGTAGGGAGCATGGCAGTGTGCAGGCAGACATGGTGCTGGAGACGGAGCTGCTACATGTTGACATGCAGGCAGCAGGAAATAGATTGAATGTCACACTGAGGGAAGCTTGAGCATAGGAGACCTCAAAGCCCACCCCCACAGTGACATACTTCCTCCAACAAGGCCACACCTACTCCAACAAAAATCACACCTCCCAATAGTGACACTCCCTTTGGGAGCCATTTTCCTTAAGGGAAGAACCTGTGTTTACATCCTCCTTCTGTTCCCTCCAGGGCAGGATGCTCCACGTCCTTCCTTCCACTATCAAGAAGGAAGCCAGCCAGGAGGCAGATGCCCCGGGATCCTCTTACAAGAAGAAGAAGGAAGCCATGGACAAAGCCAACAGCTCCAGGTCCTAGTCAGCCCTCAGTGGCCCCTGAACCCTGGTCCAGGGTCAGCAGCTCCAGGTCCTAGTCAGCCCTCAGTGGCCCCTGAGTCCCGGTCCCAGGCTCCACTTCCCTTGGCCCTGTCTTTCACTCTTCATGGTGCTGGAGTCCTAGTTCATCACTTCTTAGGGCCTCAGCTTTCCCATTTGTGAGACATGGAGAACAGAAACAGCGTTTCCCCGGGACCTGCAGCATAGCGTGCATCGGAGGAGGGGTGCATAGAGTCCCTGCCCAGAGCTAGGTCTGAGACTTGGCTTAAGAGAATGTTAGCGACCCCCTCAGTCTCCTGGTCTTCAGACCTCGTGGGCTTGGCTCATGGCCTAGAGTTGGAGGGAGGGAACCACTATGTGACCTCTGTTCTGCCCCTACTCCTCAGTTCTCACAACTGGAACACGCTGTTTATGGGACCAAATGCTGTAGCTGATGCCATTGCACAGAAGTACAACGCCACTAAGAGCCAAGTGTTTGATCACGTGAGTGAAGGGGCTCTGCCTGTGATTTATATCGGATCAGTTCTTCCGCGGGGCAGGTGTCTGGACCTGGACAGCCGCAGAGTTAGTTATCTTAGGCCAACCCTGAAGTGGGAGCAGCTTATGGCCCGGTCAGCCAGGGTGCCAGTTGATACTGCTCATAGCTCACCCTCCCTTGTCACAGGGTCAGCACTGTCCCTGGATACCGAACACATCACCACAGATGAGGTAGTTAGTAGTCATGTTTCAGAGAAGCAAGCAGGGTTCATTTTCATGGTGTTTAAAGTCAGGCTATCTAAAGTACTCCTGTTAGAACATATGCCAGTATAAAACAGCCCGAGCCATTTTCCTGTCTTCCTTTGGTGTGGGTGTGTATAGTTGGCATGGAACTGAATTGAGCAGGCCGCATTTGGTGACATGGCCACTGTTTTGAGCGGCCACAGCCTGACCTAAGAGGGACAGTTGCTTTGGTTCAGATGTCAGGAACCCAGCCATACTCAGGACAGGGCACCTGCTCTTCTGGTGCCCTCTAGTGGAGGGAGACACAAATGACAGGTGACAAGAACCTAGGGTAGGAGCTGCCTGAGGCTGAGGTGGATGAGTCTGAAGCCCCTGCAGGCAGTGAGCTAGAAGAACACCAGGGCCAGCTACCTGAGGAAAACCAGGGGAGGGACCAAGGAGTCCAGAGTTTACTGCACAAGTCCAGAGGAGTCTTAGTCCTGGGAGCCTCCGCATAGAGAATGATGCGCGTGGACCACACGCATTTCCCTCTGAGCCACCGACTGACAGCTCCAGGCTTCTTCCTCCCACAGGAGACCAAGGGCAGTGTGGCAGTGCGTGTGGCTCTGGGGGAGACCCAGCTGGTCCAGGAGGTTCGCAGCTTCCTTCTCGACAATGGCGTTTGCCTGGACTCTTTCAGCCAGGTGAGTCCCTCACTGCACGTAGTGGGTCTCCACTACAGAGCTGGAAAAGGGTTTCCCAGGAGGGAGGCTGGAAAGATGTAGACGGATCCTGTGGGTGATGGGAGCCTGAACCAAGAGGAGGCCTGCAGGAGTGGCCCCTCAGAATATCCCCTGCAGAAGGTCGGGTGTACCCAGTGATGAAAGCCCCCAGCTATTCCTACCTTCCACACCTGGGCAGCTGGTCCGCAGTGCCAGCAAGGAACCTGGGCACTGAGATGTGGCTCTGTCCTTTGGAAGCCCACAGAGCCACTCTGGGTATTCCAGTCTGGGTTGAGATCAGGAACTGTTGGAATCTGTGTGGCTTGGGGTGAACTGGGGGAGGTGTGGTTCCGCCTGTGGGGCATGAAGCACACAAGAAATAAACGTGTGAGTCCCGTGTCCCCCCAGCCCCCACCAAGCCCCTCAGCTTTACCTGATGGGGCCACCACCAGTGGTCAGTGCTGAAGCCATGCTGAGGTCACCTTCCTGCTGTCACTCACATTCATCTGCTCTCAGGCTGCAGCAGAGCGAAGTAAGACTGTGATCCTGGTGAAGAACCTCCCAGCAGGCACGCTGGCAGCCGAACTCCAGGAGATCTTCGGCCGCTTTGGCAGCTTGGGCCGTGTGCTGCTGCCTGAAGGTGGCATCTCAGCCATTGTAGAGTTCCTGGAGCCCCTGGAGGCCCGTAAGGCCTTCAGGCACCTGGCCTATTCCAAGGTATGGCCACTGATCTTGGTGGCGCCCTCAGGCTGGCATGGGCCTGGCACACATAGGCTCTGTCCAAGTCCACATTCCGTCTAGGAGCTTGCTGCCCTCCTTGTGCTGGCCGTGAGCTGTACCTGGGGCTGCCTCCTGACTTCTGATTAAAGAAAAATTAGTAGGTGTGAGCTTCTTGGGCTACTGTGTGACAAGTGGCCACCAACTTGGTGGCATCAGACAACCGAGTCTGGGCTCCCCAAAGCTGGCAGCCAGGAGCCCAAGCCACCAAGCAGCAGGTTCTTTCCCTCCTCTGCCAGCTGCAGGACAGAGTGTGACCCCTACTTTCTTGCTTCTGATAACCCCAGTGACCCTTGACTTGACCGTCACTCCAGTCTCATCTTTGCTCAAACCGTTCCTCCCTCTGGGCTTTTTGTTTTGTTTTTCAAGACAGGGTTTCTCTGGGTAGCCCTGGCTGCCCTAGAACTCACACTGTAGACCAGGATGGCCTTGAACTCACAGAGATCTGCCTACCTCTGCCTCCCTGGTACTGGGATTATGGGTGTTACACATACATACACACACACACACACACACACCGGCAGGGAGTTTTTTGTTTGTTTGTTTTTTATTAAACTTAGAGCACGCTTAGCACAGGGTAGTCTCCTTCCAGGATCTGCTTCATACTGCAGAGGTCATAGTCACAGGCTCCAGGGCTCAAGGTCAACATGTGACCTTATCTTGGGAAGCCACCATTCAGCCCTGTACAAGGAATTTCTGTCTGTCTGACACTTTTATGCTTCTTAGGGCTCAGTGTGACAGGAGTCTCCACAGGCTGTACTCTGGCATCTTGCTGTACAAGGGTCCTGGGACTGGCCTATGCATGAAGGGCTCCGTGCCTGTCACCTCTGCCCCCCAGGCTCTTCTGTCAGGTGGCACTGAGTCTCCCAGCCAGCTCTTTGATGGGGACCTACAACCTTGGCACCCCTGTCCCTACAGTTTCATCATGTCCCGCTGTACCTGGAGTGGGCTCCAATTGGTGTCTTTGGCGCAGCCCCACAGAAGAAAGATTCCCAACCTGCGCAGACTGCAGAGAAAGACAAGGCAGAGTCAGAGACAGGTAAGAACAGAGTCTGGGGTCACCATGCTGTGGGCAGTTCTAGGAAGAGGGCGAGGGCAGCTGAGACTGTTATTGGGCCACTGGCCAGATAGATGCCCTGCAGAGAGATTGCATAAGAGCATCAAGTGCCCTTTAAAAAGTGAGCCACATGTGGTGGCCAACTTTCAGCCTCTTGGTGGAGGGCTATAGGGACAGAATCTTTGAGTGATTGACAGGGATGAAAGAGGCTGTGTAAATCTTGTCTCCATCATCAAGGTGGCTGCTAGAAGACATGGTCCCTCTGCAGCAGCTTGGGTGCCACATTGCCCCTGGTGTCCAGTGGCTGCATGACCAGAAAAGGAAAAGGCAGTGGTCCCCCTAGCTGGTGCCTCACTGATGATGTCAGGGTCAGGATCACTGTCCCCCATCAGACTGATGGCTCAGCAGTGCTGTCACTCCGAGAACATGAAGCACCCAGGTGTCGTGCCAGGGTCACCCTGGGCAGTGGACCAGCAGATGTGAGGGCTTTCACGAGCGTCAGATCCCCTGCCTTTCTGCTCTTGAGTGCTGGGACTACACCCACTTCCTATGGTCTTTGTATATTAATGTGTATGGGCACAGGACTATATTGCCCCAAGAAAAGCAAAGGCCAGTAATGAGGTTGGCAGATGGAGGCTCAGATTCTTGCCCGGGTTGAGTGACATCTCTGCTCGCTCCACTGAGGGTCTGCCTGAGGCCATAGTTCCAGATGGGAAGGCATTTCTGTCTCTGCCCTTTGACCCTGACACTTTCTGTAGCTGGTGAGACCTTTTACACACCCTTTGCTAGTTTCTGTTAGGAGGCAGCATGGTTGTGATAAGTCAAGAGACGTCCCTTCTCGCAGTCCTGTGTTTGTTTTACATTAGAGTTGAGGGCTGGAACCTCAGGCAGTGGATGTTCTGCAAGTGTTTAGCTTTGATCTGCCCACCTCTCTCTGGGTTAGTTCTTACCCCATATCACCCCCGGCCTTCAGCTGCCTTCCTTCTTGGCTCTGAACTACACTTGAACCTGGATGATACGTTTTGGCATAAAGCAAGTACTATTGTCAAGCATGAAAGTTAGCCAGGGCCAGGGTTCCTAGAGACACACCCTAGGAGGCCCATCTCCCGACTGGGCAGCAGCATCAGCCTGTGAGGCACTGAGCCAGCCATGAAGATGGTGTGTGGCTTTGCCTGCCTGTCCTGATATATACCACCCCCACCCCCGCCAGGTGACACTGGAATCCGCACACTGTTTCTCCTTGTTTGTTCCTGGGCCAGTCTATCACTGCACCCCAGGTGCTCAGCATGCAGCCCTAGGCACAGGGCAGGGTCGGCAGGATGGCTTCAAGCGTAGAGGACTGTGGGAAGCTGTGACTCCATCCCTCTGCAGGGAGGGCTGGCTTATGGTGTGCTGGTGCCTGAGCCTCTGGCACACATGAGGTTTGAAAGAGGCTTCAGGTGTTTGGTGGCCCCAACCAATGAGTGATCAGGACACTGTGATGTGAAGCTGACTTTAGGTGGTTGTGGCCTGAGCTCCCAAGTGGTCAGGACACTGCAGTGTGAAGCTGACTTTAGGTGATTGTGGCCTGAGTCCATGAGTGGTCAGGACACTAAGGTGTGAAGCTGACTTTAGGTGATTGTGGCCTGAGCCCATGAGTGGTCAGGACACTGCGGTGTGAAGGTGACTTTAGGTGGTTGTGGCCTGAGCCCATGAGTGGTCAGGACACTGCGGTGTGAAGGTGACTTTAGGTAGTTGTGTCCTTGAGCCCCTGAGTGGTCAGTGGGATCCTGAGGTACAGTTATACAGCAGTGGCGTTGTTCTGGGGAGATGCACGTGCTGTCCAGTGTTCCCTGCATTGGCTGAGGAGTGTCTCCTTTCTCCGAGTTCTGTCTTTGTGTCTGTAACATGGATGATAGCCACCAGAATGACCAAGGTCACTGTTGTCACCCATAGGCTGGGAGCCAAGTGGCATTTCTCCAGGTGCTCTTGTAGCCACCCACACAGAGCCTGCTGGGCAGAGCTTCTAGCTGGCCTGGTAGGGCTGAGTAGTGTCAGTGGCCTTGGGTGCAGACCTTTCTCTGGAACTAGAGGTTTCCTGACACCAGCGTCTGGGGTCTGGAGTTGGTGCCCTGTTGCCTTGTCCCCACCAGGCTCTGACCCTGGGAGGGGCTGGTTTCCAGGGCCACCACCTGTGACCTGCACCGAGGTCCTCAGATCTAGGAGAAAGGCCGAGCACTTACCCATATTTGGACTGGGAAGCTGTCCCTGGCTGTAACCCTGCCCAGGCCCACTGCATCCTGTGGCTCTTTTTATCTTTGTTTTACTACACAGTCCCCTTTCTGTCCCAAGTCCTCTGAGTTCCATCCTGTGCCCCCTCACTCCCTGCCCATTGCACATTGTTTCTGAGGTGCCACCAGCTCTCCCATCCCTGTGGGGTGAGGACCAAGAGTGCCTGTGACCCAGACTTGGATTTCACAGGCAAGGAGGAGGGGGATGGGCAGGCTTTTCTGCAGTGAGCTTCTGTTCCCAGCATGGGTCCCGAGGGAGAGGAACAACGTGTTTTATCTTCCCACAACCAAGACCCTCACCTCCAGATAAAGGGCTGTGAGTCAGGGGAGGTCCCACGAAGCTGCTGGCTGCTGATAACAGGCTGTGCTGTGGGCCTCACAGGAGCCTGGAGTGGGGAGGGGCAGGGGAATCCTGCAGCCTGATTATAATGGCGCCCCCTGTGGCCACCCATGGCTGTCTGTCATTGTACTGACTGAGGTGGAGGTGGCTTTTTCTCTGCTCCTTCCAGACTCTGCATCGCACCTGGCATCTAGCTTCTCACCCCAGCCCCAGCCCTTGCCCTTGCCCAGGCCTCCACCTTTCTTACTCCCTCTCTCTGGTTCTTCTTGCTTTTCTTGTCATCCATTTGGATTTCATGATACCTTTTTTTTTTCCTTTCTTTTGTCACTTGGGGCTAAAGCAGGAGCAATTCTTTTAAAGACCTTGTTTCCACCCTCCTGGTGCTTCAGCCAGGAGTCCCTTCTTTGGACCCAGGAGGCCACTGGAACTGTTCTGGCCAGACACCTAAGAGTAGATGCCAGCCATGCTCAAAAGTCCCCTATCTTCTGAGGCTGGGACTAGGAGTAGCTAGCCTGCTACTTGGATACTGAACACAACTTTTCCTAGCTTAATTTGTTGTTAAAGCTGAGTGTCGTCTCCCTGTGACCATCTGATCACGCTCAGAGGCACATGCCAGGGGCTGCCAGGCTCCTGTCCCCTGGATGCTGCTGAGAGTGGCCTGAGTCCAGACCAGGGATAGAAGGAAGGTAGGGTCAGCAGTGGGGCACAGACCAGGACTTAGAGCATGAGGCCAGCAAACTAGTTCCTTTGCTGGCCCCAACTGAGGATGAAGGCTAAGTGCTACCAACTTAAGTTGCAAGAATTGATAAACTGGGTTTTTAAAAACAGCTATTTTTTATTCCTGAAGACTCTACCTTTCTTATCATGCTGAGGTGATGTCCCCAAGTGTCAGACACTGACCAGTTCCAAGAAGGGACACCCGCTGTAGTGGGCGCCACACCTCCTGAGCCGTCATCTTCCTTACCACCATCTTCCCTGTGAAAATGGCTTTCCTGATTCTGATGAACCTTGCACCAACCTGAGACTGCCTGATTGTTAGGGTTCAGACGCAGAAGCCTCCAAAATATTTTTTAGGCTCTCATGTTTCCTGAAGCAACAGCTCAAGGTCTTAGCACACGTGTTAGAGATGTCACAAGCCTCCTGAGCCTTCCCCAGGACCTGATGTCCCCACTCCCCATCACGAGTCACACTTTTCCTCCACTGTGGTAGCGTTGCTGGGAGACTTACCTGATTACCAAGGCTTGAGTCTGAGTTCTGGGCCAGGCTCATAGAAGGCACAGCTATGTCTCCCACTGTTTCAGAGAGGAGGCAGGGTCACTGCGCCATAGCCGTTGGACTTACCAGGGTGGGTTCGTGATGTGAGGCTTTCAGAAAGGATGGGAAGGTGGGCAGAGCTGAGCTCCAGGACGGAAGCCCTTCTCGCAGGCAGAAGCTGGACTGAGAGCTGTCACCGTCACTTGGGCTGGAATCTCTGACAGCAGTGCTTCTGGGGGCTTTGGGTTGAATCCCTTGAGTTTGGAGTTAGTGAGAAGGGTCTGTTCCATCCCCGTTCTGCAGTTTTGAGAAATTTAAAATCGAATTTTAATCTGGAAGTTCACTAAGCACCCTGGGTTTTTGTTTGGTTTTGTTTTTGAAGAAAAGTAACATTTTGCTTAGGTTCCTGGTTAAAGAAAGTAGTTTGTGTAGTAATTTAAAGTTAAGTTAGAGAGGGCCTGGGCCTGTTCAGCACTCAAGAGTTTTGTGTTCAGTATCTGTTCTTTCTCAAATGGAGCCAACAGCAGGGTGTCTGTGTGTCTGCCTGCCTGTCTTATAGTTCTCTTCCCCTCCTTCTCCCCTTGCCCTCCTTCTCTTTCTTCCCCCTGCTGAAGCCCTCCAGTGCCTGCAGAACCCCTGTAATCTGGCAGGGTCTGTGCTCCATTAGTCTCTGAGACTTGTGTGCCTTTGCAATGACCCCATGTAATGCACTGGTTTGTCTGTTGATGGCGCCAGCGCTCGACCCAGAGGGTGAAAAGATGTCAGGGGAAGGAGCAGAGGCCCCCACAGGCGAGATGGAAGAGGAGGAGGAAGAGGAGGAGGAGGAGGAAGAAAGTGTCCCAGGATGCACTTTATTTATTAAGAACCTCAACTTCAGCACCACAGAGGAGACGCTGAAGGAAGTGAGTGAATTGGGGGGGGGGGGGCCGGAGGGATGTGAAACCCCAGTCCGTGGCCTGATGACAACACACTGTCTGCCCTGCCTAGAACTCTTGGGCCCCCTCATTCTCCTCAGAGACAGGTCCTCACAGAAGGGAGTGGTGGCAGCTGTAGTCTGTCTGGAAGGCAGCCGGTGACGGGCGTGTGTCTTTGCAGGTGTTTTCCAAAGTGGGAGCCGTGAAGAGCTGCACCGTGTCCAAGAAGAAGAGTAAAGCAGGTATTTATCCCCTGACTCTGCAGGAGCCCACGAGGGAGGGAGATGGGATGCCTCTGAGGCCTCTCCTCTTTGCTTTCCAAGTGTTACCACCCTCTCTAAATTGCCTCCTGCTCTTTGGTGGACCCAGCTGAATACACTAGGTCCTTCTCTCTCTAGAACTTTCTCCAAGAGTGAGTGGCTTTGGAACAGTTTCACAGAGGCAGCAGTGTGGAGCAGAAGCCTCTGCCTCCTCTTTTACCTCTGTGTTCTGGAACTTTCCTGGGCATGCCAAGGAATGGCTGGCCTTGGACTCTTCCTCCTTCTTTTCCAAGGGGAATACCCAGAGACAAGTTCTAGAGCATTCTACCGATTCATTAGTCCCGATCCTCCCTGGTCAGTGGGCACATAGGCCTCATATCTTTCTTTGGTCCAGGGATTATCCTGAGTCTGCTGGTGGTCTTCCTCCTGGCTTCCTGCAAGGGATGGGCAGGGCCAGGCCACCCCCATCCAGAGTCCCTTTGGTTAGCCAGCATTGGTGGGATTATCATGTGGGCTGGCCCAGCCTGCTTCTGGGTAGTGATGGATAGCCATGGTACCTCAGATGGGTCCCGGGATCCTCCCTCTAGATGAAAGCAGACGATTAATTTAAAGGTGCCTGTCCCCAAGAGTGTCCAGACTCTCTGGAGGACTGGGGGGGGAGGCAGTGAGTATAGCACGGTGCTAAGGGCTGTGGTGGCCGGAAGCCCTGCATGGCAGCAGTCAGTGAATCACCTGAAGAGAGACAGAGCCACCAGATGGCAGAGTCCAGGAATGAGGTGACTCCTATGCCCTACACATTAGTTAGCGGGGAGCCACTGAGGTGTAAACAGACAGGAGAGTCAGAGGCCCATCGCACCCTTCCACTCAGGTGCCTGTGACAGAGTCCTAATCTGGGGGTTAAAGTCATGAGTGAATCATCTCACTATGGTTGAGACTGGAAATCCAGGTGTGGTTCTTGTGGGGAAGGAACTGTCTGGTCTCCTGCTCCCCCTGCTCCCCCATCCCCTAGCCTGTGGGTAGCCATCTCCAGGCCCATATAGCATTCTGGTTGTGTATGCCTGTCCTGGGTTCAAATTATAGCCTGTTTTGGAGGCAGGGTCTCTCTGTCTAGCCCAGGCTGGTCTTGACTACCATAGCCTCCCGTGTTGGGATTATAGGCATGTGTCCCTGTCTGGCCTCCCTCAGGTTGTAAAGGACCTCATCTGTGCTGGATTAGGGACACTGTGATGACCTCACTTTGCTCAACTTCCCTAGTCAAGGACATGTCTCAAGCAGGGTCCCAGTCTAAGGAACACTGGCTTCCACACGAGGTTCTGGGGCACCCAGTACTGCCTGCCATCCCTGGTCTTAAGGAGCTTCACACTAAGTGTGGGACACCAATGCATACGACAGTGTACACACCCAGACACGGCTGTTCTGAAGGCATGAGTCCGGTAGAACGTCCTCAAGAACTCCTGCTACCTGAACTATTGTTCCTCACTCCCTAGAACAGGAAAGAACCATGGTCAGCCTCCCTGTCTAGACTTTGTTCCCAGGACCCAGGTGTGATCAGTAGCACAGTCAGCCTCCCTGTCCGGACTTTGTTACCCAGGACCCAGGTGTGATCAGCAGCATGGTCAGCCTCCCTGTCCAGTCTTTGTTCCCAGGACCCAGGTGTGATCAGCAGCAGCATGGTCAGCCTCCCTGTCCGGACTTTGTTACCCAGGACCCAGGTGTGATCGGGTGTCAGATGTATGTAGAAGAGATAACGCTGCACACATCCACATTTGCCTCTGCCTCATGCATGGCAGATCCTCGTTGCTTGCTGCCCCTATGGTTATTTCTGTTACTTCCCACTCCCTCTGAAAGGCAAGCACCGATTAGGAAGTTAATGTCATATCAGTTATCTGCTTGGTACGAGCCAAGGAGGCCCCAGGCAGCAGCCCCGCAGCTCCACTGCGGTCTCACAAGCTGAGGTCTTTTGAAGGAAGAGGGGTGAGAAAGGGAGAGACATTAAGTGTAGGTCCCTCCATGGAGACTTTACAAGTGATCTGGTCGGTGCCGAGCTCCACCCACACCCCCTTTCTCTGTCCCTCTTTCCCTCAGGAGTGCTGCTTTCAATGGGATTTGGGTTTGTGGAATACAAGAAGCCAGAGCAAGCCCAGAAAGCCCTCAAGCAGCTCCAGGTAAGCTGGGGGTTCTGGGCCATCACGGTGAGACCATGGCCTAAGAAAGATGAAGACCCCACCCCACCCCCACTCCCCCTGGTCACTCTCACTCATCCATTCTTTAACCATGGCTCCAAACATGCTCGCTTTAGTTGGCAGGCTCTTTACAGAACACTCTGACCCACCAGAGCCACACGTAAGCTGGGCTCTAACTGCAGTCCCTAGACGCAAAGCCAGTGCATTAGCAAAATGACCCTGGAAATCCCTCAGCTATCCAGGAAATGAGCTGGTGGGACTGTGTTCACATGCAGGCCATCTGTCTTTCATCTTCTCTCAGACCATGACTGTGAACTGGACTCACCCCTTCCTCTGCTGGGAAAGGCGGACTCTGACCTGAACAAACATGCAAAGGCAGCGTCACAGGTGCTCCGTCACAGGTGCTCCGTCACAGTAACGCTTCCCCTGGGGAAAACTTCCGATACCTGTCATGGCAGAGAAGTCATCTGCTCGGAGCTCTGGGAGGGAGCAGCTAGGAGGTGGGGACGGCAAGTGCAGAGACCTGTGGCAGGAACAGGTAGGAGTGAGCTTTGTATGTTGGAGAGGCAGAGAAAGAGCTCAGTGTATGGGGGCAGAATGGGGGCCAGGGTTCTCGGAAGGTGGTAAGGAGAGAGGTGTGGAAGGCTAGACCTTCTTATAGGTCCTTTGAAGGGCTAGCATCTGGCCCAAAGGTAGTGGGAGACTGAGGCTCTGAGTTGAGTTTTAGCACAGTTTCCTGAGTCGCTGTGAAGAACATGGTCTGGAGGTGACTGGGGAACCCTTGTACCCCTCACAAGATATCACCCTGGCGTCTAGACAAAGGTGGACTGGGGCCTGCGGCAGCTGACACTCAAGAGGATCCCTGAGCTACGTAATAGACCCTGTCTCAAAAACTAAATGAGTAAATAAAGACAGCTCTCTGCATTGGCAATCATCTCAGGCCACGTAGGGCAGAGGCCGTAGCCCAGCACGTGCCTTGTGAAGTTTTGTGGGGTTTTTTGTTTGTTTGTTTAAACTAGAAATCTTTCTTTGTTCCTGCGCCCTGGTCTTCATTTAACTCACATTCAGCTCAGTAAATGGTGGTCCATATCTTCCCTTTCATGTTTCTCGAGAGTTGGTAGCCGGGCATTTGCATGCATGTCGTGACTGCTCTGTGCAGGAACGTGTGTGCACATCTCTGTCAGGGATCGTGCGTCCAGAGCCCCACACGGTGTGGGGATTTCCTAGGGTCACTCTGCCAATGCACCAGCTTTGCAGCTGGGGACTGCAGTCAGAGCCCAGCTTACACATGGCTCGGGTGGGTCAGAGTGTTCCGTAAAGAGCCTGCAAGCTAGGCCTGCAGGCTCTTCTCTCTGAGACTGCCTCCAGGGGTAGAAACGGGCAGCCAGGAGATCAGGAGTACGTCAGGAGGCTGGGTCTCTGGCCACCTGCTGCTCAGCTCAGGGACAGCCTTTCTGTTCAAGCCATCCCTGTCCTCAAACCAGGGACCGGATGCTGGGGAAGGGCAGGCATGGATAAGTGACCAGTCATGGTCGTTTTGTGTTCCAGGGTCACGTCGTGGACGGCCATAAGCTGGAAGTGCGAATCTCTGAACGGGCCACCAAGTGAGTCCTCGGGCGTCTCCCCTTCCCTTGCTGGGCGCAGCTCTCTGTCGACCCTGGTGCTGATTACTAAATACCTTCACACACCCCAATTCCTCCCCATTGGGGTTCTTCCCAGTTAAGCTTTCTCTTGCCAGCTTTGATGCCGACTCCCCCCCCTCTCCCCCCCCCCCCCCCCCCCCCCGGCCGGACCAATCAGCGTCCATCTCCTGGGTAGAGAGCTTAGACAGGCAGGCATGTTTTTATAATAAAGGAGCAAGTGGGGCTAAAGTGTAGTTCGGGAGCTGAGTGCTAGCCCGGAGTGCACAATGTCCTCTCGTGGGGCTCCTTCTCATGGTCCTCCTTATGGGACAGCAGCAATTACTGCATTGACCAGGGAGAGAAAGTAACTTCAGTCCCTGATACCTCGAAGTGGAGAACAGGCTGACTTCCTCTGCTTTCATCGTGGCCCCTTCAGTAGGCCACTTGGAATGACAGGGAGCTGTGTTTTGTGGGGGAAGGTGGCAGGGTCTGTCTAGGCAGAAGCAGTTGACACCTCAAATAACCCATTGTTTCTGCCGTCTCACCTCAGGCCTGCCTTGACAACCTCTCGGAAGAAACAGGTCTCCAAGAAGCAGACGACCTCCAAGATTCTGGTGCGGAATATTCCCTTCCAGGCCAACCAGAGGGAAATCCGGGAGCTTTTCAGGTGGGTCCCGCCCTGGGCTGTAGGCACAGTGCCCCCTGGAGGTTGGGAGGCCGCCTGGGTCCTGACTGTTTCTGTGCAACACAGTGGTGCTTTCCAAACTCTGCCGTTGATCTCATCGTGGTGCCGGAGTACCCTGGCCTCCTCTCTGAGGCAAGAGGATGGCCAGGTGTATGTCTGCACCCCAGGGCTGTCACCAAACTTGAGGGACAGCTATTCTAGTGTCTGCAGCCTGTGGTTCCCCTATAGGATTTACTGGAATTTCTTTGTGTGGGCTCTTTTTCCAGTCAGTGCCTTCAAGGCCCCAGGCAGTGGGACCTCACCTCAGCTTCCCACTCCAGCCCCCGGGTGGGGAATAATTGATGGGAATAAGACCATTGATCTCAGTTCGTCCCTGGGAAAAGCCATTTAGTGAATATCCCTCATACAGTCACAGGCCATGGTCTCTGTTAGCACGGGAGGCTGACTTGGGGGCTAGCTAGGCAGGTGCTGAGACTCGGAGACAGACTGACTGGGCCGGAAGTGGAAGCTGCAGGGCTCCTCTCACCCGGCAGTAACACCAGGCAGGAACCTAGCTAGATTTCGTCAGACCCATTCTGCTCATAGTTTCAACAATTTGAGGGTTTTTTGCTGCTGTTGTTTTTCAAGCTTAAATCCTTTCTCCCCCAACCTTTTTGTTTTACGTGTGTGAGTATTTTGCTTTCATTTTTGTACCATGTATGTATAGTGTCCTAAAGGCCAGAGGAGGACTCAGATCCCCTGTACGTATAGTGTCCTCAAAGGCCAGAGGAGGGCATCAGATCTCCTGTACGTATAGTGTTCTAAAGGCCAGAGGAGGGCATCAGATCCCCTGTATGTATAGTGTCCTAAAGGCCAGAGGAGGACATCAGATCCCCTGTGTGTATAGTGTCCTAAAGGCCAGAGGAGGACATCAGATCCCCTGTGTGTATAGTGTCCTAAAGGCCAGAGGAGGACATCAGATCCCCTGTGTGTATAGTGTCCTAAAGGCCAGAGGAGAACATCAGATCCCCTGTGTGTATAGTGTCCTAAAGGCCAGAGGAGGACATCAGATCCCCTGTGTGTATAGTGTCCTAAAGGCCAGAGGAGGACATCAGATCCCCTGTGTGTATAGTGTCCTAAAGGCCAGAGGAGAACATCAGATCCCCTGTGTGTATAGTGTCCTAAAGGCCAGAGGAGGGCATCAGATCCCCTGGAACTAGAGTTACAGATGGTTGTGAGCTGCCATGTGGGCACTAGAAAAGAACCCAGGTCCTCTGGAAGAACAAACAGTGCTCTTAAACCGAGCCCTCTGTCTGGCCCCCCTTCAGTCAGAACTCTTACAGGGGAACCCAGAAGGACTTATGGACTCTTTAAAAACAACACACAGGCCTCGGGCTGGCCACCCCACCCATGCACAGTAGAGCGTTCTGATGGGAAAGTTGTTGCTGAGATGGCTCTGCACTGAGCTGCAGTTGAAGGAGACATTCCTGTGGTCCCATGAGGGGAGTGCTGTGTGCCCTCACAACATCGGTTGGGTGAGTTCACCCCTCCATGCAGGTTGCTGAGGCTCAGCTGGGGCCCTGGAGTACTTAGGGGCCTTGAGTCCCCTCTCCTCTGCCGCTGTTGCAGAAGCCCAGGGAGGAGCACGTCAGCAGCACTCGGCCCCTGCTTGTCACTCTCTCAGGTGGTGTGTCTGGTAGGATGACCTGTCAGCGTCCTGCGAGGCGCAGTGGCTGCAGAATGAGTGCGGAGAAGGATTTATCTTTGTGAGACTTGTGTCTTTACTCTTGCTGTGAGGTTAAGAGAGTGGGATGCTGTTTGGGGAATCAGCTTCAAAACCCTTCCCTTCTCTCTGTGTTCTTCCCCATCCCCTGGGGTGGGGGCGTGCATAGCCGCGGTCAGCTGAATTGATGCTGCGGGCCTTCCCCTCTGAGTCTGAGCCGTGGAGCCTGGTGAGACAGGTCACAGTTGGGGGCAAGGGGGCATTTTTCACGTGCCCACATCCAGCGCATCAGCCAAAAGGAGAGTGAGAGCATTGGCTCGGTGCTTGCCTGCTGTGACTGCTTCTAAAAAGAGTCCTGTCTCACCACTGCCCCGTGAGTGTGTGTTAATCAGGAGCCACAGCCCTCGGAGATGACAGTGTCACTTGGTTCTACAGTGTTCTGGGGATGACATTTATCCAGGGGAACAAAAGATGGCAAGGCAAGGGAAGGAGCTTTGTTTGATCTGCATATTGCACGTCTATTTAGTCGGCAGGGAATTAGTGTCTGCCGAATGGACTTACATGTGGTGTCTCTTCTGTCGGCCATTGTTCTCTCTGAGTGGTCATAAACCCTGAAGCTGGAACCCTCCTCCAGGACAGTCCCTGCCTTGCTTTTGTTAGCCTCCCAGCAGACTGAGGTCTGAGGCGAATTGCAGTGGTGGACAGCAGGGGTCACTGTGAGCCTTCCCAGGGATGCTTGCACCTCAGGCCTGATTATAGACAAAGCCACTGGCCAGCAAAAGGTCACTAACTAAGGGGAGGCTTCAGAATTTGGAAGAACTGGTTGACCTACTATGTCAGGCAGGATTTGGGGGGACTTTTCCTGGTGGATATGATCAAAATCACAACCCACATTCCAGGCACATGCCTGTGTGCTGGGCTCTATGCCTGGTACCTGCCACGCTGGATCTGCTTGGTGCTTGCAGCCTTGGGCGCGTGAGGACTTCTGCTATGCCCAAAGGAAACTCAAGGCACGGTCTACACAAGGCCACACATCTGGGCCAGCATATGGCTTTCAGGGCCCTGACCCAGAACTTGGTCTTTGGAATCTATTGTCCTCCCAGGTTTAGGAGGATTTGTCACCCCCACGTTGTTAGTGGGGATATACTGTGTGGTTTGTATGAGGCAGTGTGCTAGATGCCAGGGAACACAATATCAGAAGGGTCTTGATTCTCCTCTTTGCCGCTGCTGCCTGCAGAGGGGCAGGGAAGAGTATGTGAGAACACGGGGCCTGTGGGGCAGGTCTTATCACCACCTGCCAGGGCAGGACGGCATTCACTGGACCCTTTCTGGAGATCCAACTGCCCACTGGACTTCATCAGTTCCCACAGTACCTGAGCAGGAAGGAGGCACTGTGGGGCCCCGTGCCCACAGGAACCTCATCAGGAGTGATTGAGGACTGAGCCATCAGTGGATGAGGACAGTGGTGCCTCTCTCTGGTGTCCATATTCTGGGCCTCAGTTCCTGTCATATAATAACTATGCTGATGCCGGTGGTATGCACATAATAACTGTGCTATCATAACATGTAATGATTGTTACTAGAGTCAGACACCAGGCGCTGGGCTGAACACTTCCAGTTGTCAGGATCCCCTGTTGCTACAGTCTGCAGTCATTATAACAGCATCCATTTTCCAGGGAGAAACTGCTCCCAAGCCCAGGTCCAAGCCACTCACGTGTCCAGTGCCTCCAGCTGCCTCAGTTCCCTCCTGTACTAGGTGGCTTCCCACCTGGGGCTGCTAGAGGCTCTGTGAGGTTACCTAGAGGCTGCAGTCGCAGTGAGTATCCAGTATTGACTGGTTCAGCGTCACCAGAACAGCAGGAGTGTGATTTGAACCCAGGGCCTGGCTTCAGACAGCCGTGTCTCTACCCACAGTGTGGGATCCTCGGAGGTTTTCTGTAGCTTTTCTCACTGTCTGTCCTTTCCCTGGGTACTTGCCTCCCACACTGCCGTTCTCTCTGCTGTCAGCCCGCAAGGATGCCTGAGGGACCCGTGTGCTCAGTTCCCTCTACCCTGAAGAGCAGTAGTTCTCAACCTTCCTCATGCTGCAACCCTCAAATACAGTTCCTCCAACCATACAGTTACTTCATTGTTACTTTATAACTGTAATTTTGCTACTGTTAGTGAATCGTAATGTAAGTATCTAATATGCAGGAGATCTGATATGCAACCTCTGTAAAAGGGTTGTTTGACACACACACCCCAGGGGTCGAGACCTGCAGGGGGAGAACCACCGCTGTAGAAGGCCCAGAAGCCCAGAGGGGTGCTCCAGACTGTCTGCTTCCCAAGGGTTCCTTTTCTTCTCCTGAGTGGCTGCGGTGCCCTTGAGGTCTCAGCTTTCCTCACTTCAGGGTGGAGCTAGAGAGCATGCCCAGCAGAACCACAGAGGAGCCAGAGGCTCCCCTTGCGTCACTATGGATTTCCCAGCCTGAGGTTGGGAAGATCAGTGTCATGGGTCCAAGGTGGGTGAGAAGGCCTGGGTGGCACAGCCTCTGGTGGGCCTCCACATAGCCCCTGTGCAGTTTCTGCTCAGAAGTTCCCGTCCTCTTCTCCAGGGTACAGAAAGAAAGCTGTCCCTTTCCTGCCCGCAGTTGTTCACCCCACTGCCCTTTCTGCCCCTTACATCTAGGTAGTTTACTTTGCCTCCCCAACCCTGGGCACAGGTGACAAGCTGGGGGAAGACAGACCTAACTTCTTAAGCTGTGGGATGTACCTGGAGCTGTCCCCAGGCCTGCAAGCTGTCTGCTTCCCTCCTGGAAGGACCATATGTCTTCAAAGATACCACACTGTTCCTACAGACGAGATAGCTAACGGGACATCTTATAGAGCCTGAGGACTTCCCCTAGCCACTAGGCAGTCACTATAGAACCTGGGTCGCTGGCCTTCTGTGCTGTTGACTCCCCATGAGCCCCAGACACACCCTCTGCTTCAGTTTCCTCTGTAAAGTGTCCTTAGTGCTGCCACCCTCCCCGAACAGAGCCCTGGGGTGTGGGCCTCTGTCTGTCGAGCTCCTAAGACCTGGCTGTTGCGGAGTGTCACTGTCACTTGGCTTATCACAGCCCTCTGTACCGCTGACAAACTATAGGCCACATATGGCCCAAATCGGTTTTTTATGGAGCGACCGGCATTGGAGTGGTGAGCTGTGTACTGTAGTGAGGTTCCTAGGGTCCTGGTTTTGAGGATAGGAAAACCCATCAGCGTGAGTCCTACACTGCTCTAGCGACTGCCACTCTGTTTACAC